ATTGTGAAACAAGAGATGTTGGTTCTTTAAGCCCTTCAGTCTATGTTACTTTGTTATAGTGGCCTGAGAATCGAACACTTCTGAGCCATAGAGAGGAGTAAACCAGGGAGTTGAAGTACTTCTTGACCCTGTATTTCCCCTGTGACCTGCTCACCCTTGAAAGACCCTGAGGGGTGGGTGATAGAGCTGAAATTTCTGCATGGAAGCTGTGTTGGTTGGTGCCCTGTGTACTGAGTGATACAGTGACCATCATCAGATAGCGAGCCCTCGTGAAACACTGAGAAGCCCACTGTGTAAACTGTGAAGTGCTGTGTCAGTGTGAGGAGTGATTTCGCACTGCTGAGATGCTAGTGATTGATAAGAGTGAAATATAGTTTGGGATAAAACGTGACTTATTCTGCTTTGGAGTCAAGACCTTGAATCCAATTTTGTAATGCTCATTAACCTCTCTTTTCTAGTATTTCCCATTTTCAAACCAACCACCCACCGTTTACATGTTAACCTCCATTTCCCTCGGGCTGCTGCCTCCTGTCTCTGCTCCTTTTCATAGCAAACAGTGAGAAGAGAAATCAGCTTTATTTGCAAATCGATTGTCATGGAGGCAGGAGATAACTCAAATCTACCTCCCCAGAATAGTCTTTGTAGGTTTTGGGGGCCAGAGTGGAGAACAGTGAAGTTCAATTTTGTGGCTGAAGTTCCTTGGCTCATCACAGGGCAAGAGTTTTGAACTTGGGCTGGTGGGCCCTGCTTCTGAGTAGCCCCTTCTTCTTTTGTATTCTCAGTCTCCTGTCAGCTCTAGGCTGTTTACTTCCACTTGCTTGGCTGTCAGATAAACTGTCTCCGTAAATACAAACCTGCAAGAGAAAGTTAGATAGGATGGTTTTTATTCTTTTGCACTTAAGGGTTTGAGACCAATTTAACCACTCAGTCTTGGTTTCAACTGAATTGGAGAAAAGTCCTCAATCTGTGCCATTTTTAGAGGAACAAAAACCTGGTCTTTTCTTGAGTTTGAGGACTCAGTAATCTCTTTTTTCCCCTTTGTTGATCCATTAAAATAATAGCAAAGGACTGATAAAGTTATATAACACAAATAGAGAGAAAATGAGAGGAAAAACAAAGTGTCCACACAGTTTGGTAGGAGGGTGGGGAGGGATTTGGTGGGACACCTCATGGCAGTGAGGTGGCTCAATCCAGAACCCCTGCTTCCACCTCCCCCCTCCAACTTCAAGACTTGGGACACCAGAGACCATGAAGGGTAGAGCTGAGGTTAGCTGGATCTTCATGTCCCCACCTGTTTCTACTAGGCTACTACATGCCTCCCTCAGACCAGTGGAGAAAGGGAGGTGAGAGGGAGAGATTCAGGGCTCAATGTATCCAGCAGAGTGGGGAAAGCAGGTGAGCAGCAGATGGGAAACAGGGGGAGTAGGTCAAGGTCTGAATTCTGAACAGTGGTGCCAGAAGCCAGGGTTGCCCTTAGGGTGTACAGGGTCAGCAAATGTGTGTGTGTATTGTCTTTGTCTACATTAAGAATTTGAGCCATAGAAAACCAGCCAATTATTAACGATTCTCATGACCCAATCTCATGTGAGCCTGTGATTAAAAACCTCTGCTGGTTGGCAGAACCCATATGCTGCAAGGTCACCTTCCTGGCTTGACCACTGGACCCAAGGTGCTTCTATAAATGCTGGCCGTCAGCTTCTTAGGGGAACTTGGCTAGCCTCTTGCATAGAGGTGTTCAGAGGGCATCCTGAAGGAGAGAAACAGGGATTAGGTTTCCTATTTCTTGGATATCTTGCTTGGTGTTGTTGCCTCTGTCAATCTTGGGGGGACTATTTGTGGTCAGTTCTTGGGGGACTTGTGGGGAAAATTTTCGAAGTAGGTGCTTCAAATCAATTGGGTTCCCATGAAGTGGGGGTGGGAGGCTGAGCAGGGACCCTGTTTGTTTGAGTCCAAGGGCTGTGTTGATGGTAATCTGTTTTTCGCCTCCCCCCCAATAATAATCACCAGGTCAGACACTGCCCAGGTAGGACAGAGGGGAAGACATTTAACAATCTCAGAGAAAGGACCTCTAGATCCTTATACCTGAGGTTTCCTCAAGGAAATGACCAATTCCCAGTCTAGTCATCCTGGGGAGAAGCCAACTTCTTGAGAAAGCCCTGCCGATAAGTCTGAGTCTCCATTCAGACATGTTCTCTCTCTCTCTCTCTCTTTTTTTAAAGTTTTATTTATTTATACATACAGGAATTGGGGCACAGGCCAGAGCTGTTGGGGGTGAGAGGATTCCCCAGAGACAGAGTGGGAAACAGAACAGGCAGATTGACTGAAATACACTGCTGAGGGAGCAGTGGGTGAGACAGGAGAGGTCTGCTGCGCCATGTGGGTAGCTCCCCGACTGGGGATCGAGCTTGTGCTGCAGTGGCTGCATATTGCTTCATAGGTTGCATCTTAACCCTTTGTGCCACTAGGGAGGCCCCAGACATGTTCTCTGTTGATTATGAACACACAGGGAACATCAGGCATCTAAGGGAAGCCACCAACACCACCAAATAAGACAAACTTTAAAGAAAACAAGAAGCAAAAAAACAGCCCTGAATGAGAATATGGATAGGGGAGAGAAAACTCTAAACTCCTCAGAGATGAACGATTGCACATATGAAACAAATACAGGGTGCAATGAAGCAAAAGGGAACTTTTTTAAAATTCTCTGGTTAAAGCGTAAGAAAGAGGGCTTGGGAATTCAAATGCAATTGCTGAAATAAAATTTCAGTAGAAGCTTTGGAAGATAAAGTCAGTGAAATCAACCAGGAAGTAAGACAAAAAGACAAAAGACATAAAATAAGAGAGAAATGATAAAGTACGTAAAGGATAAACACCAGTAGTCCAGCATTTGACAAACAAGAGTTCTAGAAAGAAAAAGAATAAAGGAAAAGAAATGATCAAAGAAATCCTAACAGAAATGGATTAGAATAGAAAGTCCTGAGGCTCCAGACTGAAAGCATACTGAATGCTTAACAATCAATGGAAGAAAATCCACACAAGTTTTTATTTTTTATTTTTATTTTTTTGAAAAGTATCTTTTATTTATTTTTTTAACAATACTTTTTTTTTTTTAAAGATTTATTTATTTATACAAGAACCTGGGTACAGGCCGGATGCGTGGGAGGGTGAGAGGACCCACCAGAGACAGAGCAGGGAACAGAACAGGCAGACTGATGCAATACACTGCTGAGGGGAGCAGCAGGCAAGACAGGAGAGGTCTGCCGCGCCCTGTGGGATTCTAGCAGGCTGGCCCGGGCCCGCGCTGCAGAGGCTGCAGACAGCTTCATAGCGCTGTGCTCAACTGCCTGCACCACCAGGGGAGGCCACACAAGTTTTTAAAAAAGTCCACAGAACATCAGTGATGAAGAGAAAAAGTATTGCCTTAAAGGCGAAGAACGAGAGTCTGAGTGGCAGCCCTGATGTGAGAAGACAAGCAAGTAAAGTCTTCCAAATTTTGCAAGGATTTTTAATCAAATTCTGTGCTCAGTCAAATTCTATGCTCAGCTGAATGAGCATGAGAGGCTAGCATATAGATATTCTCAGACAAGACTCAGTGTCTCTCTCCATGCATCTTTGCTTGAGAAGTATTCCAAGCTATATTGCTGCAAAATGACAGAAAACATGGAACAATGAGGAAGGGGCCTCAACTGAGGGGAGACTGAGAAGTGAGCTCCAGGAAGATGATGGACAGGAGGCCTCTTTACCAACCTGCGGAGATAGGAGAAGGAAAGATGGCATCTGGGGGGTTGGGAGTGTCCCTTGGAAAAGTAGATAAATTGCTGTATTATCTGTTATAGTGAAAAGCACTCTATTAAGTGCACACAGATATACTACAGATCTTGGAGAAATTTGGGAAAGTTCAATATTTAATGTCAAGACAAAGTAATTATCAATTCAGGGGAAAAAACAAAAAAAAGTGCTTGAAAGAAAAATCCATTAGTTACCACTTACTGTACTGAATTTAAGATGCCATAAATTATAAAACATCATTTTTTTTAAGAGCAAAGAAAAAACTGTCATCTATTTAAAAGGCAATTTGTAAGTTTAAGACATCCATTTCTCAGGGATGTTAGAAAGTCAAAATGTGTACTTTTTAGAACTGGTAATAATACCACCCCATTTGACTCGATAGTGAACAACAGTGTCATGGATTATTGATTTAATCACAAATTGTGATGTAAACTTATTGTTAAAATGTGGAGAGGAAAAGTATGAATTTCCTATTGGTGTGGAAAACATAAGTGCTGAATATTCATATTTATGAGACTCTCACATACCCCAAAAGTAAGGAGGTAAAGTCTAGAATTGTTAAGTCAATAATTAGCAGCATTATTTCTGAAGAATCTATCCAAATAGTTGAAAGTAGTGGCCGTGGGGTACTGGATGAAGATGGAGTAGGTTGGGTTGAATTGGTTTGGCGAATGGCTGTTTATAACAGGTCTTGGGTTTATAATGCTGTTTGACAGAGGTATGATATTTGAATAAACAGGGATAGAGAAAACACACACAAATATCTTTTTGGAGTTTAAAAATGGGACAAAATTCAGAGATTGGGGCCCCCAAATCACTGTTGCCCATTTCTTCTTTGGAATATCTTATCTGGACACATGGTTAAGACATGGCCATGTCCTGCTGGCCTCCAGGAAGGCCTGGCACCGCTCCTCTCCCTCTGCACTTCCTTTCATTTTCCCCCAAAATGGAAGTGTGGTCAAGGTTTGCCCAGAGTCCTCATATTTGTGAAGGAAGTGCTAGAGTTTACAAGTCATTCCACATATTTCAACTCTGGTCCTTGTGGCAGCTGAGTGGATGTGACTGCTGCCATAGCACAAGTGTAGACACTGAAACTTGAAAGGCCACCCCCTGGGCACCTCACCTGAAATAGCACAGGCCGCGTGCCGCAGGCCTCACAGGCACTTCTTTCTCGTGGCCTCTAATGTCATTCTGTCCCCATGATATTTTAGAGGAAAGAAGAAGAGGAGAGGAAGCGAGGAGAAGAGCAGATTCGCCTCCAGGAAGAGCAGAGGGTGAAGGAACTCTACTGGACCCTGAAGCAGGCCCAGCTGCAGAGCCACGCCAGCGAGAAGGAGGAGCAAGAATGGGCAGAGCAGCGTGAGTGGGGCTGTTCCTCGGTGGCCAGGAGACAGTCTGCTTCCCCACTGGCTGTCCTCTCACACTGATTTGAACTCACTCATCATGCTAGCTCAGCCCAGAGCCTTTAGTCATGGCCAAGCATGTGTGCAATCCTGCCGAGGACCCAGAGGCTAAGGGCTCCCCCTTGAGCTTCCATGCCTGCTGGGGAGATTTCTTACGCTAAAGAGTAAAAGCCTACATTTACTACTCTCTCAGGGTAGAGTAAGTTTTCGGTTTCCTGGCTCTGTGTTAAGTCCTAGGGATTATGGTCCTCATCTTGGAAGGACTCACAGGCTAGGTAGGAGCTAGACTCGCAGGCTAAGGGCTTCGACAGAGAATGTTCCATATACTGTTGAAGCATAAAGTAGCTACGTGGTGTTATCAAGTGAGGCTTGCTGGTGGCACGGGGCTAAGAGAAGCTCAGAGGCAGGAGTGGTGCTCTAGGTAGGCGGGTTCACTCATCACATGAGGGATGGGTGTGCTTGGGAAGGTGGCAATGTATGGACTGGCTCTAAAGTTTGGAGAGTGTCAAGATGGTGAGCAGTCAGGTGGGAAAGGGGAGGTGGGACCAAGATTGAAGGGTACTTGCATTCTCAGGATCTACTTTGTCAGGTGTGGGGGGACATGTCGACATGGAAATGACTGGCAGGCAGGGATCCTTACAGATTCCACCTGCAGGAAGCAGGTTGTCTGATTTTGGGGGTATGATTGTTTATAGTTTTTCTTTTGGTCCTTACTATTTTTGTGGCATCAGTTGTAATGTCTCCTCTATCATTCTTGATTTTACATCCTGAAGGTTTGTCAATTTTGTTCATAATTTCAAAAGAACAATTCTCAGTTTCATTGATCTTTTCTATTGTTTTTCTAGTCTCTATTTCATTCATATTGTAACAGGGTGGTCCCCAGGAAAGGGGGAGGTTCCAGGTTTCCTGCCTCACTCAAGGGAGGGTGGAGTTGAGCAGGGAGAGAAGAAACTGCAGAGGAGACTGAGGAAGGAGGAAGCAGGGTGGAGTCAGAAGGAGACCTGGAGGAGGTGCATGGAGCCGAGAGACACATGAAGAAATTGCACTTGCCTTTTGGTCGTGGACTGGGTGACACAGATGTGGGTGAGAGACCCGTGGGGAGGTGATAATGGTGGTTTTTGTCTTGATTTTGATTTTGCTCTTTTCCTTCCAGACTTGTCTGGTGGTTTCTGACCCTTTTCTGTGGGTCCCCACTGGAAGATGCTTTAGACTTGTGGCAGGCTTTGGGGCCTTGCTCTGGGCCAATCCTGCTTGGGTGGACTTTTACCCACGTGGGGACAGGTAACTTTGGGTACTTGATTTAGAAACTGTATTCTTTGCCTTTCCTGTATTGTTTCCTAATTGTATTAAAGTTCCTTCTCATTATATTCTCATGTTTTGTGTTGATGCGGCGGATGGCAGAACCTATTTAGAGCAGGCAGGTTTGCGGGGTCTGGAGTGGCCCTCTCCCTGCCCTATAACAATTTCAGTGCTGATCTTTTTTCTTTTCTTTTTTCATTTGGTGCTAACTTTGGCCTTAGTTTGTTCTTCTAGTTCTTTGAGGTATAAAGTTAGGTTGTTTATTTGAGATCTTTTTCCTTTCTGTTGGTATTATTACTATAAACTTCCTTCTTAGAACAGATTTCGCTTTTTGGCATGTTGCATTTCTATTTTCATCTATCTCAAGATCATTTTTGATTTCCCTTTTGATTTCTTCTTGACCCATTGGTTGTTCAGGAGTGTGTTTAATTTCCACACACTTGTGAATTATCCAGTTTTCTTTTTGGTATTGATTTATAGTTTCAAGCCATTGTGATAAAAAAATGATACATTGTGATCTAAAAAGAATCTTGATATGATTTCAATTTTCTTAAATTTTAATTCTTGCTTTGTGGCCTAGTATATGATATGGCCTGGAAAATGTTCCATGTGTGTTTACGAAGATTAGGTTTCTCCTGCTATTGAGTGGAATGTTTTGTGCATGTCTGTTAGGTCCAATTAGTCTAAAGTGCAGTTATGTTGAATGCTTCCTTATTGATTTTCTAAATGGATGATCTATTATTAAAAGTGGGACACTGATGTCTCCTCCTTTTATTGCATTGTTGTTTCTCCCTTCAGATATGTGAATATTTGCTTTTGTATATTTAATTGCTCTAATGTTGACTGCATGTAAATTTATGATTATTATATTTTCTTAATAAATTGACACATTTAGTATTATATAATGACATTCTATTCTTGTTACTATTTTTGACTTAGTGTCTAGTTGTCTGATATAAGTTTAGTTTTCTCTGCTTGCATTTGGTTTTCACTTGCATGAAAATTATTTTTCCATCCAAGAAGGGAGAACGTTTGGAATGGTCCTGTGGAGAAAATGGCATTTGGTTTAGGAAAAGTAGAGAGAGGTAAAGACGGCAAAGAAGAGCATATCACAGAGGGAACAGCACTGAGCAAAGGCAAGAGCATGTGTGCAAACATATACATGATTTGAATGCTGCAGCCTGGGGTTCATGGCGGGCATGAAAATGAGGCTAGAAAGATAAGATGGGGAAGAGGTAAACAAGAATTCACTCATTTAAATTCAGAATGGATGAAGAGAGAGCTCAACAAAGAAGGCAGGGCAAAGGTTTATTTATTTAAATTACATTTATTGAGGTATTGATTTACAACACTGTGTATGATTTAGCTGTATAGGTTCACACCTCTACAAATGTGTGTTATCACACCACATCCACCCCCAAAGCACCAATAATCTTCTACCATAGTCCACTGAGTCCTCTCCCACCTTCGCTCTCTGCTGCCCAGGTCAGAGGTTTATATGAAAAAGTAGTGAACACAGTGAGTTCACAGGAGTCCCCTGTAGGGCAGAGAAGGAGGTGGAACTGGGCATCTTGTCTTAGATGCACTGACCAGTGTGGACTTGAGCAACTTCTCACTCGGACTGTCATTCAGTTAGTGTCCCTTGTTGTTGTTTTTTTTTTTTTTTTTTTTTTGTAGCTCCACGACAAGATGGAAAGTTATGGGCTGGGCTGGTGTTTTGTTAGAGCTGGAGAATGGAAATTATCTGGCCCAGGTGCTGCCTGATTGCTAATTAATGTACTGTGTGGCAACTGAAAATGGAAAGACCTCCAAAAAAACAGAGAAAAGATGTGATAATTCAAGTCTCGAGATTTTGGTTCTTCATTTTATGCTTTCCTAAAGAATGATGAGCTAAACTCTGGAACCTGTCATTCAAATCCAGCAAAGCCATTCTGCACTCAATTAATTTAATGTGAAAGATAGAGTGGGCCATTAATCTCCCAGGGAACAGCAGTTTTTGATAAAACACCTAAATTAAATTCTCCAACTTAGAAGAAAAGGGAATTGTTCCCTTTAGTATCACTTGAATACAGAGTTAGTTATTCAGTTCAAACAGCAGAGCACACGCTGGCTTCAGAGAAGCTCTGAATAGATCAGGCAGAAATTAATTTAGTAACTTCTCAACTGTGAACTTAGAATGTGGAGGTAGGTAACATCATGTTGCCCAGAGGTTTAGAGATGAGCCAGCAAGACTTGGTAAATGCCATTATTTACAAAAATTGGACCTTTCTTAATTGTCGCTGTTATTTAGTTAAAATGTGAACAGCATTTTGCAGTTTCCAGACAGACTTGTGTTTCCTCCCCAGCTTCTGGAACTGTATAATTCTGGTTGTGGCCCCAACCCACAATCTGTGCCCTAGTTGTTGAGTCCCTCACCTGCTTGTTGTCCTGACTGAGCACAGAAATGTGCACTCAGACCCAGAAGGGGCCCAGTTATGTTGGTCCCATTCTCTTCTCTCTTAGAAGGGAGTGTGCTCTGGAGTGTGAGTTTAATGTCAGTGGTTCTGAGATGCTGTGGTCAGGCAGAATTTCTAGGGCTTGTAGAGACGGGGTGTGGTCTCAAGGCGGGAGCCACAGAAGCGAACTTGGGGCTGCAAGAGTAGCTTGAGGGATAACACAGAAGAGAGACCTTTTATATCCCCAGGTGGGATGGGAAAGCATGTACTTTCTCCTAGGACATGGCCAGCTTGAACTGCTCCTTAAACTCCAGGTGTGACATATTTTTGGTTTTATAACTCAGAGTAAAACTAACCGGAGACCCCCCACAGTCCTGACTCATGTCCAGGTTAGGGTTCTCTCTCCTCTTTTTTTTTTAAGATTTATTTATTTTTATACAAGAACTGGGGTACAGGCCAGATGTGTGAGAGGGTGAGAGGATTCACCAGAGATAGAGTAGGGAACAGAACAGGCAGACTGACGAAATACATGGCTGAGGGGAGCAGCAGGCGAGATAGGAGAGGTCTGCTTCGCCATGTGGGATTCTCGTCGGCCGGCTGGGATCGAACCCGCGCTGCAGAGGCTGTGGACAGCTTTACAGTGCGGTGCTTAACCACCTACACCACCAGGAAGGCCCTCTCTCCTCTTGAACTGTTACGAATTCCCCGGGGGCTTGTCCCAAAGCAGAGTCCTTCAGAGGCTCACACTTGACCTGGAGCACATTCTGATCTTAAGCAAGCCCTGCAGTTTCTGTCACAGCCTCAGGGGCCATTAGCATTGCTATCTGGACAAGAATGGTTGGCAGGTGACCTCAGAAGCCTCACCTTCCTGGAAAAGACCCTTTCCTTGACCTGCACTTAGCTGTTGGTAAACTTCACTTACTATATCCCTGAGGCTCATTTTAAGGGATCATGTCTTGGTGTCAAAGCTACAATTCCAGGGTGATGCCTCCTTTAGCATCACCATGAGGCTGCCATGTATGTAGATCCTGTACAATTGGAATCAATTACCATCCTCTCCCGGGGTTGGAGAAGCTTCCTCTTTCACAAAGGTTTCTTTGACAAAAACTCCTGACTTTCTAACCCTAACCCTACTGATTCCATCTCTACCCATTTGTGCCTCAGTAGACCCTAATTCTTTAATATTATTATTATTATTTTCTTATTACTTAAAATTGTGTTA